TTCCAATAGTAGCATGTCAGAAATGTTTTATTCCTCTTATACCACAGCAATTTGCCAATCATGACTTTTTATTTATTAAATACTGACTTTTTATCCTTTTATAGTCACATGTAATGTGTAAAGTTCTTGAGACAAGTTAGTGCCTGTGCCAGTTAGGTCATTCCTTCATGAGCCTCGTTTTTTCTTTTTTAATGAAAAATTAAAAAAAAAAAAACACACAGCTTGTCATGCTATCCGAGAAACCAGAAAGTGCAAAATCCTCTGTCCTGAAGACTTTCCTGTGGCAGATAACTTACTGTTACACAGAGCTGGCAGTGGAGACTCCTTCCATAAACGTTAAACATCCCCATACAGAAACCTTCACCATAGCAATGATTATGCGTTTTTCTTTGTTAAATAACAGCACAGTTTTATTATTAGCCTTATACTATGTAGATTATCCACCACACAAGTCCCTGTAAGTTGTGTTGTGTGAACGAGGGCGTTAATACAAACCCGTGATTTGAATTACAGCCGGCACATCTGTCAGAGCTGCTGTTAAAGAAAATTAATCAACAGCTTCTGACCAATCAGATTCAAGATTTCAACAGCGCTGTGGTATAAAATCTGAGGAATGAAATCAAATTGTCTGAACAAAAAACAAAAACAAACAAAAAAGTGCACCCGTGTTGTCCAAGAGGGCTTCCTGGATAACGTTATAAAATGCAGCTGCACTGTGAAGTTTAGTTTATAGTTTAGTTTATGTGTTTATGGATCAAAAGAATTCACACTAACTGCATATCTAAGAGACATCACTGAAGAACAGGATGCATCTTTAGCCAGAAATAAACATTTTGAATGAAATAAAGGTTCATTACTTGTTAATTACATGAGCCTCATAGCTCCAGCGCAAAACTAAAGAAGCAAATATTGGACACTAAACATGATGTGGCTGATTGGCTATATTTGAGGAGGGGTTTGGGTAAATTTGATTTCATTCTTTTTTGCTGTGCTGAACTGTTCCTTTAAGTCATCCAAGTGAATCACCAAGCAATGAAACCTCTTCATAAATGTCTGAAATGATAGCAGTGAAGTCCAACATTGCTGCTGATCAGCATTAGACGTTTATGTCTTCACTGCGTCAGTGAAAACATCAGCTATAAACTTAGCACCTTAGCAAAAGGAAAATCCTATTTTTCCTTTTGTGCCATTACAGATTTCGCCTCCTGTCGCTCATAGCTCCAGTGACACGCTTGAAGTAGTGGATGAATTAGCATGCTTACACTCATAAAATCTTCCTAGCACGAAATTACAGCTTTATACTCTTTGAAATATTGATGTTTAAGTGTCAGAGTGCTGTATTAGGGTGTAAATCCTCTCGACTCTACACGGCCTGCCTCAGGAGTGCAGTGAAACAGGCTGAGCTCAGCTGCCCAGCACAATTTCCCATCAGTCATCTCTCACGCAGCATGTTAACATGTCCATCGTCTCCCACGCTCTTTCAGCTCTCGGCATCTGTGCTGCCTCGGTTCTCGCCCTTGACTGTTGCTCATCCATGCATCTAAAGCAGTTCCACTGGTATAGATTTCACTAGTAAGGATTTTTCATGTGTGTAAGAAGCTCTGTCAGATGTTGTTCGCTAATCATATATAAGAAAAAAATTCTTTATTTATTTATTTACACTGTGCTTTACAAAGAAGATTAAAGTTTTCATTTTAAGCACATGAATAAAACCATTAATAAAGTAACATTTATAAAAAAGTATCCAAATCATGAAAAAACGAACAATATTTATCAATAAATCAATAAAAACACACTACTAAGTTATGCTTTTAATATGAATTTAAAATATTTCGATTTAATATTATCCAGAATTTTATAAAGTTTAATAAAACACATATCTAAAAAATGACATACAGGTACACACAAGTATAATGTAGTCTTTTGTCTATAGTTATTATATTGTTACCTAATTTTATCTTTTCTGAAGCATGATGAGTCTGAGGCTCTGCAGCCAAGAAAGAGGGCGCCAACATTTTTCAACCCACGACAAATCACGAGGAAGACGCCAAAACAAGTGTGGATGGTGGGCATCTGTTATGTTTTGTACTTTGCCACAAAGTCTGAAGCACACAATT